TAAAACTGTTTTCTGACTGGGGTTTATGGTTTGGTGGGCAAACACGCAGAACTAAAAGCGAACGATAAAGTTAATGAAGTTAATGAATGTCTGATGGATATTTTATGGGCTCTTATTAATGAAGACGACCAGCACTCACATTGAGCTGAAGGATGATATAAAAGCTGGTTCGGTTCTGCTGTTGGCATTACACGCCTCGGCTCGAGCAGCAGGAGTGGGACGGGTTTTTGGTGAACTTCCTGGTAGTTCTGGGTGTAGCTGACCTTCAATGACAGAAAAGGAAAGGGGAAATTGCCACACCACTCCCATAGTGGATCCAGGGGAACAAAATATCGGCAGAAGTTGCACACTGACAGACAGCTGGCTCCGTTAACGCGGTTCTACTTCACTCGAGTCCTGGTTATGGGAGTGACCGGGGTTTCCTGCGGGTGAACGGCTGGATACGGTGCGCTGTGCGGCGCTGTGGGAGAAACCGCAGCTGTAGCAGAGTCCACTGTGGGCAAACCGCTGGGAGTGGTAGTGGGAGGGTCGGGAAGAACCCGGCAGGACTGGGCCACAGCAGACTGACAGAGAACGAGCTGACCGGGTTGACGGTCTCACACAACGCGGGGACTGAACGCAAACCACCGGTCTGTCCTGTCTCCTTCTGAACGGAGGAACTCACGCTGTTTTTGACCCTCAGGTATGTTTAGCTTTTCCCCCAATAACTCGTATTTTTAGCCTCAACCGTCATCATTTTTTTTATCCTGTTCTAAAGTAGGCTATTATTAACCTTACTTTGCCTACCTTGAACGACAAAACAGAAGGATTTGTTACAGCTCTGCGGGACATGTGGACTGATTCTGCTGAGTAGTTTGTGTCACTGCAGCATGTTTCAGTGCGTGGGTTGAATGCACGCCATGTGACAGACGCTGTCAAGATAAAAAAAAAAAAAAAAAAACTTAAGTAGCAATCATAAGAATACAAATAACATTAATGATGGGAAGAGATTTGGTGTAATCCTATTTTAAGTGTCACACAGCTGAGCTCCCCATTGGCTGACTGACAGACACTGGAGTTGTTAATTGGGCTTGTTGCTCACAACCTTCAGGTTGTGGTTGTCTTTTTATAGACTCCACCCAGACACTGACTAAGACTCTTAACTAAACAGTATCCCACACCTCAGCACCAGGAGGCTGAGAGGTTGCTTGATGGGAGAAGACATTTTTTATACTATTAGATCTACTGTTGTACTTTTACATGGAGATATTTGCTCTTAACTTTGCTTTGAAAATCTTTTTTTCAACACTTCCTGAGACGGCGTGAATGAACAGGTAATACAAGCTTCCTTACCTGACCTCTTGAACTTTTAAAGAACCTATAATTATTTGAGGTATTTAGAAATATATGAGGGGTTTTTGTGTTGTTGCAAGTATCTCACCATTTGCTTGGACTCTTATTTACTGGACACCTGTCCCTGCAGTTTGGAGTCAGCAGTCCACCTGTTAATGTGTGTTTGTTCTGTAAACATGGAAAGGTTTGCGGAACACCTGCGTTTTTGGTGAAACCAGTTCCTGCAAGAAACTTCTCAAAGGGAAACAGATTTAATCTAGTATGGTAGTTAGATCTGCTGAGTTATCAAGGCATCACCAAGATCCTGCCATGATTCTGCCTGGTTATTTGATCATTCTACCTTTTGGAAAGTGGGGAACTTACTTTGATTCATTGGCTTCTTGCAGTGTAACTGACTTTTGAGCATAGGGCATAAATGTTCAATATGCTTATTATCTGGGGCTTTGGAAACCCTTTCCAGGACTCTGTTGAGGTAAAGTTGAAGAATTTGGACATCATCTGTCCATTTTGTGCCTCACAGCATAATGCTACCACTGCCATGCTTAATAGTTTGCAGCCACGACAGTTAGTTGGTGATCTTAAGTTTGAACATTTTAGTTTTACTACTGCTAACATTGTTGCAAGATGGATCAATCTTTGTCTTGCATGCTCAGAAAACCTTTCTTCAAAACAGGGGTCTTCAACTCCAGTCATTCAGTTCTGGTATCCAGGTAACCTCGACCTGATCAAAAGTTTGTGTACTTTTCTTCTAAGCTAGGTCTGCAGCAGAAAACCAACTAATTTTCTATTGAGAACAATGGTCAAATATCCAGAAAGAAGTGCCTGAAGTTTCCTAAAAATTGGCCAGATTGAATAGATGGCTAAGGAGAGCTTGTTATTAGAAATAATTGGCTTTGAAGCAGGGCAGGATGAAGTGACATTGACTTTTTGAGGAGGGTTAGGAACTTTTGTTCTTTAAAAGCTCCTAAGGCACAATGTTCTGTCTGAACACAACTAAGCAGCAGAAACAAAACATCAATGTCCTGCTGTCAATATGTTTTTCCAAAACAGACCTCCAGTGGGACATGCTGCACTGTGATTAATGTCTTTGATTTTCCATTAAACACAGGCTTCATATCCTCTGAATGGTTTGGTTAGATGTCACCTTTAGAGGTTAAAGCCTGAACAGCAAATTCAACTTTGTTTATGAATCTATAATCACTAAAACAACAAAGATGAGTGTGATAGCTACGGGTTTATTTTAGTGGATTAATATAATTATATAATTAATGTAATTATACATTGCTAAGACAAAAAAATATATCCAAATTGATCTGGCACCATGTGTTAAATCATTAGTGAAATTGTTTTGATTCAGTTTTGCCAGCCAAACCCAGGAATTATTATTGTTGACTCTGCAGAATTATATACAACCCAATAAACAGAACCAACAGATGATGCCCAGAGCTAAAGAGACATCTGTCAGTCGCGACTTCAGAGAACCACAATAATGACAATTACTACATCTTTAATGGAAGAAAAAAAACAACAACAAAAAAACATGGAACAGTGGTGAACCTTCAAAGAAGTAGCCAGTCTCCCGAAGTTACTCCAGGAATTTGGAGTAAAATGCTTAAGGAAGTCAGACAAAAACCTGCAAGTTCAACTCTGAATGCAAGGGGGAAAAAAACAAAGAGTTTGTTGTGGCCTAGTCAAAGTATGGACTTAAATATGATTGAGATGCTGGTGGGTTTCCCTTATGCTAGAAATAAAACACTCTTTAACAGTTAACACAAACTCATCACAATGGTGGAACAACCAGTTAATAGGTTTAGGGAGTAATTATTTTTTTTCACACAGTGCCAGATTGGTTTGAATAGATTTCATACCCTTTACTAATAAAAATGATAATTTAAAAAAATGCTTTTTGTTTTTACTCGGCTTATCTTTATGTGGTATTTAATTTAGTTTGTTGTTGGAAAACAAGAGGAAAAGCAGAAGAAGTCTGTAAAGGGGTAAATACAAAAGTACTGTAGATGGACGAGAACAAATGTCTCATTTTACACTTAAAGGGCATTCAAAGGGTGGGGTAAAAATGCGAGCAGACTGGTCCTGGCTTGCTTTGGACTGTTTATTTCATCAAACTCTAGTCTTCCATTTCTCCAGAGAAGAACATTTCACGGCATATTTATTTTATTACAAACCATCTCAGGAAATTTTGTACAAAAAACTAAATCCAGTTGTGAACTACAAGTACATAGAAAGTGCTTCAAAGGGAGCGTGTGCTTTGTTTTGAGGGAAGTGTGACTTGGTGTTGACAAGTTGAAGGTTTTTCCATGGTAACATGGAGTCAGCTACTCGTCAGGTGGATCCTGACAGTTTCCCACAGGACACACCCAACCGAATGGCCGTTAGAAAGATCAGCATCATCACCTCTGCAACAGGAAAAACAGACCCGCATAAGCACATTTACTACCTGTGCTGTGCTTTAGGAAACAGTCAGGGTGGGTTATTTCCACTTCAGTGACCTAAAATGTAAACCGGTTTGGTAGATTAAAGTTTACTCGTATTGAGGTCTGGAATATCACTGGTCCATTGCACATCTAGATTGTTTTATTTTTCAGCCGTTTTCACACCCAAAAGTTTGGCAGATGCAATTTGATTGGGGACCAAAGCTGCAACATTTGCTGTGTTTTCAGCTAGCGCGGTTTGCTTTCAAACTCTTTGAAAAAGAATTTAAAATTCTTCTCAAAATGTAAACTAAAATGGAGTAGTGTCAAATTTTAGTGGTTGTACCATTTTTCTTTTGTAGTTGGTAAAATAACTTTTTTTTTGTAGTTTACAAACTTTGTTAAACATTCTGGTTGTATTTACCCAGAATGCCCTGTGTTGTAGTCTGGTTTCTGCTTCTGGAGTGGACTCAGGTCCGCTTGCATCCACATATGCATTTGAACCGTGCTGGAGTTCTCTTCAGCTGAACTGAGACCTAGGTTTGCAGGTGCACCAGAGTTCACTTTTTTTGGTCCACATCATGGTTCGATTGCACATTCACATCTCCCCAAATGATCTGGACTTTCTACACTAACAAACTAGAGTTCAACTAACGCGGACTAAACAGCGCTGGTTTTCTTCAGTCATTTAGTTTTTATCTGCCCAAAAGCAGATTAATTAAGAGGTTGTGTGGTTCATTTCAGCAAAAACCTTGCTAAAAATACCTCTGCTCTTCCTGTGATCAGCTGTTTCAGACATGCCATATTTGTGTTTTTTCTTTTCTATTTTTGTCATCAAACTTTTACATGAACATGCCAACATGGGCTTGCAGAGTCTGAGAAGGAGCTTTAGGCGTTTTGCACCTGCTGCTCACTGCACAGTCCAACCTTGGGGTGAATTTGCTGGTCATCGTCTCTTGTGTCATTGCTGGTATCCATCTTGGCACTGTTTATAAACCCTGGCTTTTGGAAATGTGGCTACACTTACTGATAATAAGTTAACCAGTTGCATTTGATTCCCAGAACATTGCTGCTACTTTCTCCTGTAGATTGTAAGCAAAGATGTAATTGGTTGTTCCTGGAGCTGTGTTGGCAGTTGCTGTTTTTTTCCCATGACTGTATGCCTCAGCTACAATCTGTGATGTGTGCGTTTAGTTACAACTCAAGAACCAAGATGCATTCAGGAGTTTGGACCTTTCATTATGAAAAGCTGAGATTAATTTGACCCAGAAGTAAGACAGATGGGAACCTAATGCAATTGGAGCTGATAGTCAATCTTTTGATTGATTTATTGATACATGGAGGGTTGGAGCATGTTGGCCAAACCTGGAAAATCTCCTTTCGGTTTTGCTTTCTCATCAAAGTGTTCTAGAAATGCCACCTTTTCTAAACATGACTCGTGTTCAGTTTCTTTGTCAGGAAGGCTGTATCAGGGATGAACAGATTTTCTATTTTCCACAGTGATGATCTGATGTCTGCGGACTGATTTGATGCTTCCTGTGAGACAAATCTGGGGAATGCAACATGAGACGTATCAGATCAGGTTAGACTGCGATTCCATTAAGTGGATAAAATATAGCTGAGTGAGCGATGCTGATGGTATGTGTGGGAGACGGCTTACATGACGGCTGCTGCTCAGAAGCTGAGTCAGACCTTGAAATGGGAATGTGTTGGAGGGAAATGTCAATCGACTTGAACCTTGGCAGAGACAGTTGGAGACAGAGAAAGGCATTCTGGGTTTATTATAATAACTTCAGCATCTCTTTACAGAAAACTCAGAGCAGCTTTTCAACATCAGCAGAAATATTGATGTAATTTGCTTTTGTAAGGTGCTGTATTAAAATTAAAGGATTATATGAGTCAAATGTACTTTTTTATTTTG